TGACAGCTGTAAAAAATTCGGCCGACGCTTGACGTGACGTTTGTTTCACATAAACGTTGGTGCAGCGCGCTAGAGATAATATAATAAAAAATGCTAGCGTTTAGGGGGTCACTGAAATGACCACAAAATATCGAAGTCTTCTTTAGACAAGGATTTGATACGATACCAGTAAGACGTGGTAAAGGGAACAGTGAAAATTCAAATGCGATATTTCGCTATGGAGCCTGGCACAGATCATCTGCCCTTCCCTTGCCTGCTCTGCTAACTGTACCCCTGCCCCCAGACACATGGGACAGCACCCCGGCACCGCTAGGTACCCAGATACGGTGGCCGTAGCTACGACCCCCTCACCAAAAGCTCACGGCCGTAAGCCTTTGGTGAGGGGGTCGTAAGCTGCGGCCACCGTATCGATAACCTCCATCATGCCGCAGATTCATTATTTTCTAGTGACTTGATTTTGAGTATTTTTTCGCGTTTATCTTATTGAGGCAGAATAATGACATTTTTTCATATTATAATTTAATTTTTCAGCCGTAAATTTTTGTGAAAATTGTGTTTCGCGTTCATTCATGGGTTTGAAAGGCTCTCTATTAATGAAAAACTTCTAACGAGGGTGACCAAAATAAAAAATATATTCTAGATCGTGAACTCTGATTCGTGCTTCAGCAACGACTGGAAAGCTTATTCATTGATTTTTCTTGTGCAACTTGGTCTATTACGCTGCAATAAGGATTTTTACGTGGCAGTGCAGACACTGCGACGTCTATGCAAAGGCTGGTTTGTGAAGAAAAAGTCTACCTTACCAATTCCAATGAAGCGCCGATTTTTCGAACGTTCTCGGCGTCGCCGGCCAAGTTCGTAGCCGAGGCCGACAAAAAGTGACGAGTCATGATCTGACTTTTATGCCTCATATGAACGACAAGCTGCGAGCAGACGCTTCCAGCGAAACACATTTTTCTAACTTAAGTTTCGCCCTAAGTCGTCAGATTGCCTTTACATTTTTTTGAGGGCATCAAAAATTTTCCAAAAGCTCAGGTTCCATTTAAACAGAAAATATTTTTTTTGGACGGCCAAAGGCAGGCCAACGATTATGCGGCTTGAATGATGAATGGAGATCATATATAGGATCGAGACTAAGGGAAGTCCATCTAAGTTTGCTTGATTCGCTGACGGATGAAGAACGCAAACTTGTAATTGCTTCCACTCGATTTAGCTTGATTTCTGACGATCGGCCTCGGTCAGAGATTGAGCGCCATTTTCTGTCTCATTATTCCTAACTTCTGGCGTCGACGCGACGTTTTTATGTTCAGTTTAGTAACTAATTTCACCTTGAACGCTCGACTGAATCTGCAATTCCGGTGAGAATGACAATAAAATGAAGACCTGACGGCCTTGGTGTGGGGAGGGGGAGAGGAAGGCTAGCCTCAGCTGCCCGATTGCTTCTAAAATTCAGGCACGAATGGCTTTGGGTAATCAGGGGCAATTCGTAGGCAAAACGACAGCCATTTGCTGAAATCGTTCAGCGTCTTACGTTAATTGCCCAGCTGGTCTCGATTTGTGGCGAGGATGTTTTAATCGTTAAGCCAATTGAGGATAATAGCTTAATTTACATGTTGCTCAAACTAATCAATGGACCTTGAGTACAGCAGCAATTGCACTGAAAAGAAAATACAAGGCTATTTTCCATAATATACTGTATATGCGTTTTTGACTTGTTTTTATATTCATTATATCAGCGCAACGCAGTGCGCATTTTTGGTTTATCGCAGACACTGCCATCTATTAGTTGGTCGCATGGTGAAAAATAGGCAATTAAAGCTACATTCTGACTTTTAATTACAAAAAATCTTTGCTCATCCCGTATAAACCTCAGACAGTGATATATTTTGATCATTCTAAATCTTAACAATTGGAATCTCATGTCATCTCTGGTTTCCTTGCATGTTTACCTGTAATTCTTTTTTGTTTGCGTTGGTAATATTACAATAATATTAGTATAATAATATTATAAAGTGCCTTTATATTTAGCCAGTCCAATTAAGTAAAAGTCTACAGATATTTAACTGTGGAGCTGTGAAAGTATTTGTATACATGGATACAAACTGAGCTATGCACCATGAATGCTAAGGCATTTGTGTATCGTGGATGCAGGCTGAGTTATGACACGCGAATGCAACAAAGTTCACAGGAGACGCAAATGATGAAGGACCAACGAGGCTGGACGAGCGACGAAGATGATGTGCTGTTGTCAACCGTCAGAAAAACCCAAAGAATGTAATAGAAGCGCAACTGTACAGCACCCTGAACCGCCACTCAACTCCACTGGTTTTAAGAAGACACAAAAATCAATAATTTCAGAATTGTGCAGCTCCATTTGAAGAGAGTTTGCAGCTACTGGTGATCCAAGCTGCTGCTGTAAATGATTAAAACTGCTGCTGTTAATGGTTCAAGTCACGGCGCTTAAATGATCAAGCCGTTGCTGTAGATGATCGAAGCTGATGCTGTAAATCACTCAAGCTGCTGGTGCGCGAGGTGCTCCTTAAAAATATCACACCAGCGCGTCGCAGTGTATTATATCAACTTAAATACTATACGTTTAAAAATTACTTTTTACAGACAACTCACTAGATGTAATGCATATTTTCAAAGCTAAAACTCCTATTGACGCCCAAATGGCAGGAGAAGTTCGTGGAACTTACTATATATAATGCACATTTTCAAAGCTAAAACTGCTATTGACGCCCAAATGGCAGGAGAAGTTCCTAGAACTCACTATATATAATGCATATTTTCAAAGCTAAAACTGCTATTGACGCCCAAATGGCAGGAGAAGTTCGTGGAACTNAGGTGCTACGGTCGCACAGTACGACAGGCAGTCTTACTGACACTTGTAAATGAAATACTAAGTTCACCAGTGCTACGGTCGCACAGTACGACAGGCAGTCTTACTGACACTTGTAAATGAAGTACTAAGTTCACCAGTGCTACGGTCGCACAGTACGACAGGCAGTCTTACTGACACTTGTAAATGAAGTATTAAGTTCACCAGTGCTACGGTCACACAGTAAGACAGGCAGTCTTACTGACACTTGTAAATGAAGTAATAAGTTCACCAGTGCTACGGTCGCACAGTACGACAGGCAGTCTTACTGACACTTGATTGTGAAACTCGCAGAGGGCTGGGCAAAGACGCTGTTTCTCAGCAGCCACGCGTATTTGATAGCGCCAAGTTCAGCGCCACCACAGACTTGATAGACATGAACTTGGTTGACATGAGCTGTATAGACGTGAAATTGATGGATAGGCCTCTAAACTTATTAGATATCAATCAATAGACATGACGCTGATAGAAACAAACTCGATAGATACATGTATGAGTGACATGAACAGGATAGACATGAAATGATCGATATGAACTTGATAGACATGACTTGATAGACATGAACTTGACGGACACTATCCTGCTCTTTTGTCCAGGCTTCAACGGTCCCAGACGACGCGGCTAGTTTATATTAACAAATTTCTCGCACTTATCAGTGTTGAATGAACTCGTTCATGTCATACACCTCGAGTTAATGACCTCACTCATATCCTACACCTCGAGTTAATGACCTCACTCATATCCTACACCTCGAGTTAGTGACCTCACTCATATCCTACACCTCGAGTTGATGACCTCACTCATATCCTACACCTCGGACTCACTCATACCTCACGCCCCTGCAGGTTCCTGCTGACGGTGCTGACGTGCGCCTGCGTCAGCCAATCAGAGCTGGCGGTTGGCTCGTCCCGCCGCCGACGTCAGGCCTCGTCAGACGTGATGCAAAAGAGCGGCAAAATCACGTCGAGTCGTCGTGCTGACGCCAGCCTTGTCGATGACGAGTCTCAGCATCAGGCCAAGCATCAGCATCGCAGTCAGCATCATAAACAACATAAGATGGCATCCCTGCAGCAGCATCAACAGGGAGAACAGCTACAGGAGTTAGAGCAACAGCTGCAGCAGCATCAACATGGAGAACAGCTGCAGCAGCTGAAGCAACAGCAACAACAGTCGCAAGAGCAAGAGCAATACGAGTGCAGATCTCCTGGCGGTCCCCTTAAGGTGAGGTCCTAACAAAATTTAGGAACGGGTCAGACTCTGCAATATGTGCCACCTAGAACACGATCGGCACGTAAATCAGCCGGGAGCGCAGCCCTAGTCCAAAAATTTTACTCTTAAATAAGCCCTGGAGCCAACGCCTAGCTTCACCATGCATTAACTTTACTCAGCCTCAGAACTAGAAGCCGCAGACTGCGCTTGAACTCCGTAATCCAGACAAGCGACACACTGCCGAAAGATTATAGCGCCGTTGATCTTCAGCCACTGCTTAAAGCATTCTCGCTCATAAGCAGGCAGTTCCCCATCCGGCTGTACCTGCTCCGGCCTAATCTCTTCACACAGTCCCGGCTCACAACCTTCTTGTAGCCAATGACTGGCTCTAACAGCACACTTGGACCGCCTTTCTAACTTCTTGCAGCCAATGAGGTTAGGTTAGGTCCGCTCAGGTTTGTTTTGGGTGGAGAAAGGTTGCAGCTCGTATAGCGGTATAGGTTAGGCCTGAAGAGGTTAGGCCAGATGAGGTTTAGCCAGATGCAGTATGGCCATGTTTACCTTTGGCAAGCTTATTTTCTGGCTGTGGACATCCGGCGCTATGGCTTTGAGCACCTGACTTCATAGGCCGTTATGCACTCTAGCGTTCTTACTTATGGAAGGGAATATGAACTAAGTTTGAAGTATGGCAAAGCTGGCCTCTGGCATGCGCCCCCAATCAGCCTCCCAATATCAGCTTTGGTTTATACTTTCCGATGCTTCATACTTTACTATGGCTGTCACTAGGCAGGTTCATCACTTATTCTGCAGGTTCATCACGTTCGTCCCAATTTTCTTCGGTGGCTACGGCCGAATCTGACCAAAAGAAAAAAAAAAACTTTCCATTCGTTGGGTAATTGAATGCATACATTACTTGCTTCTAATGCTTGTTGCAAAAACTCTCTGAGTATACAATTAGTAATAGGCACGCCAGATCACTCTAATTTCTGGTAACATTGCGGTCGAAAAAAAACCTGTTCAGTAAAACAAATTTAATAATGCATGAAGTAGTTGACAAACGATTAATAGTAAACGGACTAATAACAATCTAGCATAATTTCTACTTTGAATTGTTCATTAAACGACAGTGGTACCAATTTTCGAGAGTCTGAATTGCTCGCGGCTTTCCGCTCAATGTCGCGTTACAGCTAAGATGCACAAATGTACAACGACATAGAACTTGCTGACATAAATTTTCATGCATATACTGTATAGCAGTGCAAGCGACATCGGTTACACAATAAAAAGTTGTTAAGACATTATATTATCCTCACCTCAAGCGCACTTGTGCAGTCCGGTGGAAAAACGACGTGCGACTCAATATCAGAAAGCTGGTCCACAAAATCTCTGGTCTGGGCCCCATATGTCACCGCGCTGAGGTGACATATTCACTTCTCCAGAATTTGCGATGCTTACTCACAACGATAAAGCACGAGAAATAATATTTTTCTGCCCTGGTTATGCAAATGATCAAATGATAATTTTTCTTTGGTTTTACTTTCTCTGAGACTATTAATTAGAAATACTTATACTGGAGAGCCCTCGCATGCTTTATCGCTGGTTCTACGTTGTGATGGAAAACATTGCTTTTATTTCCAATATTCGTAAAAATGAATAATAACGATCCACGTTATAAACTTTTATTTAAACATTGATTCCCAAACTGTAGCATGCGAGGACATACACGAGACTGGTCGCTGATCTTATCAGGTGACCAAGCAGACGCGGAGTAACTTTAACCGAGCACAGCGAGTCTCGCGCAGAATCCTGGGAGTTACTTTTTTATTACAACACTTCTTTTTAACTTCACTTCTTGTTGATTGTTTATTGGTTTATTTGTTAGTTTGTCTGCTACAAATCATCTTATAATCGATATTTAACACACTTATACCTGTTCAATCAATCTGAAATTTCGCACACATACGTAAAGTCTCGACAATGCATGAATCAATCAACAGAATAAATAGTTCCGAATATTTAAATTTTTATACAAAAAAGTTAAAAATTACTTTTTTAATATATTAAAATAAAACTAGAAATTCATTGTAAATGTGTAACATTGGAGAAACTGGATTCTTTAGAAGTGTTGTCTTTAAGAATAAATTTTGAAACGCACATTATTTTTTTACGGAGGGAATACGGCGCGTGCAAATCAAGACCATTTGTTGAACACACCACCTTTATTGTTCTTTTTGCCATTTAAATTATCATTATCCTTATTGCCGCATACATTACTGTCATTGTTGTTATTGCAATTTAATTTGCCAATATTGTTATAATTCGCGCTGTAATCAGCAATGACGATTGGCATCGCCATTATTTCCTGCACTCGCGCACGGTTTCTATTTTGCAGACGCCGCTGCAGGTGCAGGAGCCGCTGCAGGTGGAGAGACATGGCGTCATCCTGCACGACGTAGAGCAGGTCAACAACGAAGTTAAACCTGCTTTAGCCTGCCGACCTGCACTGACCTGCATTCTCATTCGCAACTGTGGACAGCATTTCACTGCCTCCACCTGCTCAGTTTACGGACCTGCAGTGACTTTGCCATGCTACGGACCTGCAGTGACTTCGCCATGCTACGGACCTGCAGTGACTTGCTAATTTTTCTGACGATCGCCTCGAGACGGCCAATTCTCATGATTCAAATGTTCGTAGCCTTTCTGAAACCGCATTTTATATACTATTCTTTTTTCATCATAAATCAGAAAAAAGTTTAACGAGTTCTGAGTGAAATCGTGTGCAGGCGATTCATAATTGTCAAACGAGTGTTCACAGTTTCCCATTTTTTATTATCGATAGCGTTTATTGGCCTTTTTAGTGCTCGTTCTTTTTTCTCATCCGTTCTCTGATATTATTCTACTAAATTTTCCTTTTTTTAAATTTTACTACCAATATATTCCCTTGTTTTTACATTTATAACTTCCATACTTTCATTTCTGTCTTTCGTTGCCAGATAACATTTTATCTCCCCTGCTATCATAATTAAGATTGCGTGTCCGCGGCGTCAGGCTGAGCTCAATTACATCCGATCATTTTTCCGGGGATCCTTCTTTATTTTCAGTTGTGCAGTCGAACTAATCGGAATGATTTTCCTGCCACGGCATTTTTACTGGTACGGCGAACTATGAAAATCCCAATGAGGATATAAATAAATTAACACAATGTCTAATGAAGGTTGTGAATATATGAATAACGATGTACACCTGAGCAGTAATCTTTATGTTGCAAAACAACTGCAGTGTTAGTGGTCAACTGCTCGGTAATTGAGTCGCTGCGAGGATGAGGTCGGCGGGCAAATGTTTGGCACGCAAACCTCGTCAAGTCGCTGCGTGGCCCGGGCTGCGCTGCGGCGAATTATCGGTGGGTTATAGGTGGCCATCGAACGGACCGCGATCGTCCGACCTTGAGTCACTGATCATTTTCAATAGGGTTCGATGCAGTCACCACTTTGTTTGATCAGTAAAATGTGAAAACAAGTTGAAAGGATTGGGCGGACAAAATTGTTTAAGGCTTCGGAAGAGAAAAATCGATTTATGAGAGATGGAAAACATTTTAAAGGTTTTGAGTAAATGAAAATATGGAGTCTAACTTCAGTAAGTGTATTTGTTGACGTCAGTTTAAGAAAAGGAGCAGCATTCGTTTTTATGGAAGGGGAAAAATAGATTTTTGACTGTAGAAATTTTATTTCTGGGCAATTTCGACTGAAAGGGATATATATCTGATTTTGGGATGCAGTGCAGGAGGTGATTAATTTTCACCAAAAAAGAGGTTTTTGCATCAAGAAATAACTTTGATTTGCGTGACAATCGCTACTTGATTAGAGCCGCCGATGCTGTTCACTTGCTGCACTCGTGTCAACGTAGCGGCAACGCTGCCGTGCCACAAATAACTTACTCGGTCGTACGTTATTCTCGAATAAAATCATCGATAAAACTAACAGAGTTGTTTTATGGCAACGCTTCACTGTCCTGCGGCGATCCTGCCATACCTGTCAGTCTTATCGCATATTATTAACTGCACTCAAATGATTTCTAGTCTTAACGATACCACTACATGCCCAATCAAAATCATCCCAAACAAAATCATCAAAAAAAAAATAATAATAATAACCGCAGTCTGAGCGCGAAATGGTGTGCATGAAATTGCCTGCGATCGTCAAATGAATTAAGATCACAGGCACGCTAGCTTTGTTTCACAGGAAATGCGTATCTGAGTTCGGAGTGATGCATCACCCTAAAAAAATATAATTTTATTTTATTTTCTCATCCTGACTTCATCGTAAATTAATTAAGAGCCATTCGACCACCCCTCATGAACAATTTTTACTTGGCATGTGGAAAGCCAACGGTCAACCACCGGGGAGTTCCTCTTAATGTAAAATATTGTACAATTTATATTGTGGCTATAGTGTTGTTATATTTTCTCTGGTCTTCGGTGGCTTCAGTGGATCATTATATATTAATATATGAATAAAAATCATTAATCAAAGCCTGAGATTTTATTAGCTTTATTTTGCCTAATTTGTGTTAACTGGAAATATTTTTTAAACATGTATGCTTGCTGCGGCAAGTCCCCTGTAAATTTATAGTCTTGACATGCATTGTACGTCAAAATTGATTCAGTAGAATTTTTTAAATTTAGCATGTCTCTTGCTAAACCTACTATTGGCGAAGTGGACATAACGGGTCAGCGCAAGAACCACGAAAAACATTGAAAAAAAGTCATCGAACATGCAACAAGAGCCTTGACAAACCACTGATAAGCATTTTAGCGAATATGTAACAAGAAACATACAACCCACTGATAATCACGTCCGAGCACATGTAACAAGAACCTCGCAGATCGAGAGCCCACTAATACAAGATTTATTCTGCCGGCAAATTTTGCTATGACCTGATAATCATTAAATTATATTTCGCACCTAAGGAAGAAGCTCAAGACTTTGTGTTCTCACTGGGCCTGCCGGGACGTCGTCTTTTAAAGCCATTAGCTTGTATTGCGATTATTGTGCTTAAAAGTGCAGGCAAATTCCAAACTTGGTCTACTGACTGAACGGATGACAGGTTTCAATAGAGCGCCACAAGCGGGCAAGTTCTGTGGAGAGAACATTTTATGGACAGTTCTTAATAAGATCGATGAAAAAGTTACACACTTACGCCTAACTGTTCGCTGTAGTGTTGATGGGTCAATACGCAGGTAGAACTTCGTGCGAAATTGAAGTTCCTATAAAGAACTCCACTGTTAATGTAACAAGATTGCTCTAATCTGGAACAATCGCAACTAATTCGCAGATAGAAAATAAGATTTCACACTGAACCTAATTAAATGAGGTTGCTGTGCACGAAGCACTGCATGCAGCACCTGCTGCTGTGCATGAAGCACTGGCTGCAGGACCTGCTGCTGTGCTCGGAGCACTGCATGCAGCACCTGCTACTGTGCTCGGAGCACTGCATGCAGGGATCTCTGTCGGCTTATCCGTGACCAAAGAATTAGGAGCTTCGGACGCTAATAATTTTTCTTTAATTAGTAACAGGTCGCGTCGGTAGTAAATATAGGCTTGCTGAGTACGAATACTCAATTGATTGTCCTTTTGATGCAGCATTATTTTATACAGGGAATTTATTTTGCCGCAGTTTTCATTAGCGCTGTCGCAGTTACGCGACAGTCAAAACATTCTGTAACTAGCCTAGCAGTTATGTCGCGTGCGCATAAAGCACAAGTACATACGTCGCAGATATAGTCAAGTTACGCTGCAGATTCAAGTCAGTTACCCTGTGGACATAACGTATATATGCTATTGATGTAATGTACGTAGTTACTCACATTATAGTCTATACTCTGTCGTACGGTCTCGTGGATACCGCAACAGTGCAACGAAAAGGCCACCGTGTAGCTGCACCGCTGCGCTGCGATCAGCGGCGCTCTTAATGCCGGCTAGTGGCAAGCAGGCACCAAATCATTGCCGTTTTAGTAGATGCCCTAATACGTTGATGTTAAGTCCTACAACGTATCACTTTGGCAGGTCCATTTCATCATTTCAAGTTTTTGCAAAATAAAAAAATAACAACAGTCTGAGCGCGAAATCGTGTGCTTGAAATTGCCTGCGATCGTCAAATGAATTACACTCGAGTGTTTTGGAGCTCCTAAATGAGGACTGTTTACTTGCAGTGTCGTCTGGAGTGAATGTTGGTCGATTGAAGAGGTGTTGGTCGTGTGTTTTTATGGGGTACCATGTTTTGCGCATTGTTCGCGTAGGGGTTTTGAAGGCATGAAATTGGAGCAGTGTGTGTTTTTAATGAATCTCAGGGCCTTGCTTTAGAGATTTTCGAGGTGGGAATTGATGTTTTGGATGAGGTGTGTTCGGTGGGCAAATGAGGGACGATTTAACTAAGATATGGTATAAGGTGCGTTTAATGTGGGGCGGGATGTGGCGAAATCTGTGTATTTTTGAAAGTTTGTGAGGGCTTTTGATTAATTATCTGGCTGTTATCTGGGATCTGATACACGCAGCACCGTGTGATGGACTGTACCGCAGCACCGTGTGATGTACTGTACCGCAGCACCGTGTGATGTACTGTACCGCAGCACCGTGTGATGCACTGTATCGCAGCACCGTGTGATGGACTGTACCGCAGCACCGTGTGATGGACTGTACCGCAGCACCGTGTGATGGACTGTACCGCAGCAACGTGTGATGGACTGTACCGCAGCACCGTGTTATGTACTGCACCACCAAATATCTATGTATTGTTGTTGCTCTGATATATATAATCTGTCGTACATATATATTTGTTACTCCGCCGCACATGAAGTTAGTAACATTTTAATTCTCACTCGAGGGTGCGCCTGCGTCGTCGCCTCAATTTATTCCCTGCATTTTTGGAATTTTTCTCGCGTCAAGAAAATATCGTCACGCGGCAGCGGAATGCAGCGAAGAATAGAATCTGCTGAGCTTCTGAGAGCCAAAGCGTACGAGCTGATTACCGGAGCGGCAGCGAATATTTCTGTTAGTGGTGGATTTGTTGGATGAATTTATGTTAGTCATTTGTGATTTTTGTGGATGTCTTTACCTGTAGATTGTGTTTCGGTCGTATGAAATTTTTTGTTTCATGTAAAGGATATTTCCAACTGTTAGTGCTGATAAGGATAGAAACCGTTGGTCTCTTTCAATTTAATGTGAGACAGTAAGATTTGTTAAAAAATGATCTATTATCAAAAATTTTGTTTGACATTTGTTTTAGAGTTTACCGGAAGAAATGTGCGTAATGCTACGGCTCGATTATTATTGTGCCGTGGAAAACCGCAGCGGAGTCATGTGTTATGCTAGGATGCGTTACGAATTACGAAATAAAAGTGTAGTTGTGTAACAGTTTATCTAAGTATTTTGATTGGATATTAATGGATATGTCTATTATGTTTGGATTACTATTGGTTACTTATTTATTTTATTCGATTTCTTCAGGAAAGCCTCAAATATCAAGACACAAATCTTGAATTTTGAAGTCTTGTATACGCCAAGCACCTCAAATGAAAGCCACTCAACGAAATGTTAACGTTTATAAGTGTTCATTCATTTTATAGCACGTAGACCAACACTTAGT